GGTGTTCCAAGAGGTATAAAATAGGTGCTTCTTAGGAGCAAAAGATTCAGAGATCAATTCTTCCAGAACTGTGGAGCCCAAGACTGAATCAGACTCACTTTGCAGAGGACTTGAAGGGCAGTGGGGCTGTGGAGGAGGAGCATCAGTAGAGGCTAAGACACTCCTCCAAGCGAATGGGATAGTTTTGAGGAAAGATCATGTCTCATTAACTCCTGCATCCTCAGTACCTAGAAAAGTGTTTGGAACATATAAGATGTTCAGTAAGTATTCATGGAATTAATAATATCTTTGGGCAAATTATATTTTTAAAAGAGTAAGATTATGTTTGGTGTTCTATCATTTAAATACATAATGGAATCCTTTGATAGGGAACTGACATAAAAATCCCTTATGCTAGAAATATGGGACAAAGCTCTCCTTTTCTCTGTGTTGTTTATTTAATGGTTCTCTGAGTGGTTTTATGATTGCTAAGACTCACAGGAAAAGCAGTTGCCTGGTGATTACCTATATTTTTCTTGACTTGGGGGCTAATATTACTAAAAGCAATGTTGGTTTGAGGTGTTTTTAACCTATTTTTTTTAAACTCTTTTTGGCACTCCAGTATCTAGTTTTATTTGTGTCTATGGGAAATTAGGAGGAAGTCAAAACCCCCTTTTTGCTGTGGTATCTCTTCACGTTTTGGAACTATTGAATAAAATAATTTTTCTATTCATTTAAAAATAAATGGATGGCTAACTCTGTGAAAGATAATTCTGGTTGCAGAAGCATGTTAAAGATGTATGCAGTTACCTGCCATTTAATACTAGTTACATTCAAATGGCCATCTGATTTGGGAATATATATATATGGTTCATTGGTTCTAATTATGTTGACTTTTAATATTTCCTAATTTAGCCTTAGTGTACTAAGTACTAGTCTTTTAATATTTACTAATTTAGCTTTAGTGTATTGTGTTAAGTACTACTCTAGTTGGTGGAGGCAAGTTTGCTGCAGGACATACCTTCAAGGGATTCTGGAAGAATGTGATTTTAGCCCTCTTACCTTTTTAAATAGAAGAAGCTTGGAATGGAGTTGCAAAGAGCCAATCCAGTCATCAAACACATTCATCTTTAATTGATTGAAAGACAATTGCCTCCAATTCCAGGCGTCACCTCTGTATCCAAGGCAAGATGAAAGTGCAAGACCCAGTGAAATCCCACCTGCCATTTGTCTTTCCTTGATGCCGCATACTACTTCCCAGCAGAGGCCTCCCTATACTTCATTATTTGTAAAGGTCCCATGAGGCCACATCTAGCTGCAAGGGAGGCAGACAGAGGGCAGGAGCTATGCAATGCCTTGATCAGCCAATATGTAGTGCCACTTTACCCACTCAAGTGCCATTCAATAATCAAAATAAAGAATACTTTCAAGAATTCATGCTTTTAGGGACCACACAGTCTTGTTGAAAGAAGAGCACTTGATAATAAAATCAGCTATCCAAGAGATGAATGAAGATGTTCAGGGTACAGAATTAATGGTACGTGTTGAATCCAGTATTAAAGAAAGGTATGGAGGAGGAAATGAATGGTATAAATAACAACACAACATCAAGTTAGGCTGCAGTATAAAAGGGAAGAGGAGTGGAAGAGAGAAGTGTTTAAATATTTGCATCTCTCATGGTGAGGCATCAATAGAATTACCTAAAGATAATAACTTAATTGAAGTTTAAGAGCATAAATAAATCAAAAAACAATTTATAATAACATAATCACGTATATTATTGATGTAGGAAAGATAAAAGAAAAAAGAATAATTCATAATGTTTTAATGTCTTCATCTGGAACTTAAAGAAAAGCAGAGGTGAGCCTGTCTTTATTTCTTACTATTGCTCACCAGTATCCACTGCTGGTTTTTTTTTTTTTAATTTTACTTTAAGTTCTGGGACTCATGTGCAGAATGTGCAGGTTTGTTACATAGGTATACATGTGCCATGGTGGTTTTCTGCACCTATCAACTTGTCATGTAGGTTTTAAGTCTCACATGCATTAGGTATTTGTCTTAATGCTCTTCCTCCCCTTGCCATCTCTCCCTGACAATAGGTCCTGGTGAGTGATGTTCCCCTCCCTGTGTCTATGTGCTCTCACTGTTCAACACCCACTTATGAGTAAGAGCAGTGTTTGGTTTCCTGTTCCTGTGTGTGTTTGCTGAGAATGATGACTTTCAGCTTCATCTATGTCCCTGCAAAGGACATGAATTCATTCTTTTTTATGGCTGCATAGTATTCCATGGTGTATATTTGCCACATTTTCCTTATTCAGTCTAACACTGATGGGCATTTGGGTTGGTTCCAAGTCTTTACTATTCTAAATAGTGCTGCAATAAACATATGTGTGTATGTGTCTATAGAGTGGAATGAATAATGAACATTTGGGTATATACCCAGTAATGGGATTGCTGGGTTAAATGGTATTTCTTGTTCTAGATCCTTGAGGAGTCACCACATTCTTCCACAATGGTTGGACTAATTTATACTCCCACCAACTGTGTAAAAGCTTTTCTATTTCTCCACAGCCTTGCCGCCATTTAAATGGTGATTTAAATAATCACCATTCTAACTGGAGTCAGATGATATCTCGTTTGTGGTTTTGATTTGCATTTCTCTGATGACCACCAGTGATAAGGATTTTTTTTGTTTTGTTTTGCTTTTTTTGTATATTTGTTGGCCACATAAATGTCTTCTTTTAAGTGTCTGTTCATATCCTTCACCCACCTTTTTTATAGGGTTGTTTTTCTCTTGTAAATTTCTTTAAGTTTCTTATAGATTCTGGATTTTAAAAAAAGTATTACACAGATATTATTAACATTTAAACATAAATTTTTAAGACAAAGTAAACTCAGACTATAATACTTCTAAATACATAGAGGGAAGGCACACGCACAAGCCCCAAATTAAAACCATAGAGAAAATGGAGAAAAAGAGAAAAAAAATTGAATAATTACTAAAAAGGAAATAGCTTTGGGAGCCTGAGGGCAGAGGATCACTTGAGGCCAGGAGTTCAAGAGCAGCCTGGACAACATAGCAAGACCCTGTCTTTACAGAACAATAAAAAAAGAAGTTAGGGAGGTGTGGTAGCCCTACCTGCAGAGCCAACTACTTAGGAGACTGAAGCATGAGGATCACTTGAGCCCAGGAGTTTGAGGCTGCAGTGAGACGTGTTAGTGCCACTGCACTCTATCCTGGATGACAGAGCAAGACTCTAAGGAAAAAAAAGAAAGGAACAAAAATAGAAAATGAAAATATAATGAAGAAGACAAAACTGAGATCAAAGTCATGTGTCATATCCATAAATGTAGATGAGATGACAAACAAACTAAAGGAACACTTTTTTGACTTTATCAAATATAGAAGCCAAACATTTGTACACAAAACAATGAATTCTAGAACATACTGATAAATAAATACTGAGAATAAAAGGAAAGGAAAAGAATTAACAGATAAATGTATACAAATGAATTCAGGGATCATAAGATTATGCCATGCAAGTTTAAATACGAGGCAAAAATATTGAAAGGCATAAAGAGATGCTTTATGATGATTAATGTTCAATATAAGATAAAGATTTACAATCATCACGAATCCAGTGCTGCCGATATTGTACATATTATACACTGAATTCAAGTGTTGTGCTGAGGGCTCTGATATATGTGAAATTTCATTTTGAGCACTGCATAGAATGAGAGAGACAGAAGACAGGAGACTTAACCTAGGGCTATCGTAGGTTGGAAGTCCCATAGAAATTCCTTGAATAGAGCTGATCCCAAAGAGTTAGCACTACTTTTTGTACACGAAAGCAATAAATAAACCTGCAGAATCAAAGAAGGCAGGAAGGAAACTCACCGGCAGTAACTTCAGCATTGAGTGACCCCGTAATTTATCATCCAAACTGGGACACTTTTGAAGGGAAAGACACACTTCTTGTAATTGTGCTACAGCAAAGTCTGGGATAGGAACAGTAATACTCTGAGAATTCAGTACCACAATACAGTTCTTAAGCCACTTTCAGCAAGAGTTCACATTACCTACATGCCTCTGAAAAACCTATGCAAACAATTTAACTTAAAGTAGCCTCAAGGAGGTAGTAATCCTTGGGGCCTGGCAAAACAAATACCATTCCTCTTTCAGGAATACAACTTTAAAACAGGCCTAAAAGGATTTTCACAGAAAAAGTTGAATATGAGTTTAAGGAAAAATATCAGAAAACATACAGGGAATAAAATACAATTTGAGTAAAGGCAGCAGAAAACCCAACTGTATCATGAAGCCCTCATTGAAACAATTAAATAATTCCACAGAATGCAAGACAAAGAGGCAAACGTCAAAGTTGCAATTAATTTCCAAACTCCATAACATACAATTTAGTCATTGGTCATTTGTATAGCTGCAATTAAGTAATTAGCCTAATCACAATAGATGAGAAAAATACATAAAAACAATGGCAAATAAATACAAAACAAATGAAAATAGTTAGATGTGATTACATTGCTAAACTCTAAGCTAATAATCTGAAAATCAGATTAAATGATAATTATTAGGAAAGATGAAATGTCTAAAATTGATCTTGAAAATGTTTAAAACCTGTACAGTCTATCATTGATGGGCATTTAGGTTGATTCCATGTCCCTAATATTGTGAATAGTGCTGCAATGGACATACATGTGTGTATATCTTTGTAACAGAATGATTTATATTTCTTTGGGTATATACCCAGTAATGGGATTACTGAGTCAAATGTTATTTCTGGTTCTCACTCTTTGTGGAATTGCCACACCATCTTCTACAATGGTTGAATTAATTTTTATTCCTACCAACAGTGTAAAGACATTCCTATTTCTCCTCAACTTCACCAGCATTTGTTGTTTCTTGACTTTTTAATAATGGCCATTCTGATTGCCATGAGATGGTATCTCATTGCGCTTTTGATTTGCATTTCTCTAATGAGCAGAGATTGTATTAGTCCATTTTCATGCTGATCAAGATAGACCCAAGACTGGGCAATTTACAAAAGAAAGGAATGTAACTGGACTTACAATTTCAGGTAGCTGGGGAAGCCTTATAGTCATGGTCTAAGGCAAAAAGGAGCAAATCATATCTTATATAGATGGCAGCAGGCAAAGAGAGAGTTTGTGCAGGGGAACTCCTCTTTTTAAAACCATCAAATCTTGTGAGATTTATTCACTACCATGAGAACAGTATGGGGAAAACCACCCCATGATTCAATTATCTCCCACCAGGTCCCTCCCACAATATGTGGGAATAACTAGAGTACAATTCAAGATGATATTTGGGTGGGGACAGAGCCAATCTATATCAATGATGTTGAACTTTTTCTCATATGTTTGCTGGCTGCATGAATGTCTTCTTTTGAGAAGTGTCTGTTCATGTCCTTTGCCCACTTTTTAACAGGGTTATTTGCTTTTTTCTTGTAAATTTGAGTTCCTTGTAGATTCTGGATATTAGACCTTTGTCCAGTGGGTGGATTGCAAAGATTTTTCTCCCACTCTCCTGGTTTCCTGTTCACTTGATGGTAGTTTCTTTTGCTGTGCAGAAGCTCTTTAGTTTAACTAGATCCCATTTGCCAATTTTTTTTTGTTGTTGTTGCAATTGCTTTTGGAGATTTCATCATGAAATCTTTGCTGGTGCCTGTGTCCTGAATGGTATTGTCTAGATGTTCTTCTAGAGTTTTTGTAGTTTTGGGGTTTACATTTAAGTCTTTAATCCATCTTGAGTTAACTTTTGCATAATGTGTGAGGAACGGTTCATTTTCAATTTTCTGCAAATGGACAGCCAGTTATCCCAGCACCATTTCTTGAATAGGGAATCCTTTCCACATTGCTTGTTTTTGTTAGGTTTGTAGAAGATCAGATGGTTGTGGATGTATGATCTTTTTCTGAGTTCTCTATTCTTTTCCATTGGTATATGTGTCTGATTTTGTGTAAGTAGCATGCTCTTTTGGTTATTGTAGCCTGACAGTATAGTTTGAAGTCCGGTAGTGTGATACCTAAAGCTTCGTTCTTTTTGCTTAGACACCATGGAATATTATGCAGTCATAAAAATGAATTAGATTGTGTCTTTGCAGGGACATGGATGAAGCTGGAAGTCATTATCCTTAGCAAACTAATGCAGGAAAAGAAAAATAAACACCAGAAGTTCTCACTTATAAGTAGGAGCTGAACAATAGGATTACATGGACATGGGGAGGGAAACAACACACACTGGGGCCTATCGGAAGGTGGGGAAGGGGAAGGAGAGTATTAGAAAAGATGGCTAATGCATGTGGGTCTTAAGACCTAGGTGATGGGTTGATAAGTGCAGTGAACCACTATGGCATACATTTACCTATTTAACCAACTTGCCTATCCAGTACATGTACCCAGAACTAAAAATAATAATAATAAAGAAAATATTAATAATCTAAAAAAGAAATTACCAAAAAAATTGTTTTGAACTTTTACTTTAGATTCAGAGCTACCTGTGTAGATTTGCTATGCAGGTGAATTGAATGTCACAGAGGTTTGGAGTACAGATTATTTAATCACCTGGCATTGAGTAAAGGCAATAAGCACAGTACCTGATAGGTAGTTTCTCAATGCTCATGCTCCACCCATGCTCCACCCTAAAGTAGGTCCTGGTCTGTTGTTCCTTTCTTTGTGTCCATAAGTGCTCAATGTTCAGCTCCCGTTTATGAGTGAGAGCATATGGTATTTGCTTTTACTTCCTGCCTTAGGTTGTTTAGGAAAATGGCCTTCAGCTTCATCTGTGTTGCTGTAAAGGACATTATTTTGTTCTTTCTTATGGCTGTGTAGTATTTCATGGTTTATATGTAGCACATAGACTAATAGCTTTCTTTTGGAAGTAAGCTAATACATTATAAATTATTAATATATCAAAGGAGAAAAAGCAATATCTTGATAGAAGCTGAAAATCTAATTGATAAAATTCTACATCATTTATGATAAAAGTTATTAACAAATTAGGAATGTATGAGCGCATATATTGAATCAAAACCTAGAATAATGAATAACGGTAAAAGACAAGAGGCATTTTTATTATAGTCAGAAAATAATCAGAACACCAACGGTTTTTTATCACGGTTTGGGACAACTAGCTAAAGTACTGAAGAGACTGGAAAAAAGTGCGCTAACGTTTTAGCACACAAGATCATTTGAAAGTAATGAGGAAAAATCCAAAAGAATAAACTGAATGTACTTAACTGAAATGAAAAGATAAGGAAGCTTAATAAGCTGACTGGTTGAAAAATTAATATGTTAAATTAATAGGCGGCAAATATACAAACACCATCCATTTAGAAATATAGTGGTTTAGAAAAATTACTTTCAAAAGCAACATGAAAGAGAGAAGAGCAGGAAGAAGCGTTTTTCCTTCTCACTCAAGATTGGACTGTAAGTAATTTTAACAACTCCTCTCTGCCCCACACCTTTAGACAACGGCAATTTGCGACCCTAGGTTTGCTTACATTGCAATGATCTCTATTCTCTCCCATCTCAGAAACAAACCCTGCTGTTAGTGTGGCTCTGCTGAGAGAAATTAGTTCATGTGTCTATTAAAAAATTGCATACAAATGTTCAGAGCATCTTTATGTGTGATAGTCCCCAAACGGAAACAACCCCAGTGCGCATCACTGGGAGAATGGATGAAAACTTGTGGGATGTGATTCAGTGGAAGACCCTTCAGCAATAGAAGAAAAAGGAAATAGTCATTGTTACATGTGCCATGGCTGAATTTCATAGTAACAAGAATGAGAGAAACACTAAACATAAGAGAATGCTGAAGCATCTTCCATTGTGTCACATCCCACAAGTTTGAGAAGGAAAAGTGCTTCTTCCTGCTGTTCTTTCATGTTGCTTCTAGAAGTAAAGTCTCCTAATCCACCCGCAGTCTTTCCTCTGACTGTACATGCCACAATTTACGGTTTCTGTATCTTCCAGATTCTGTTCCCTAAAACATGCAAACTCATATGTTAGCAATTACACGACTTAAAAAAGTGCTTGATGTTCCAGGCTATTGTTTCTATTATAATTTTAACAGCACAAATTTTGAATCTCAAGTTCAAAGTTGGACTCTCTAATCTTTACTCACTACCCCGAAGACAGTGAGTAAAGAAACGCTCAATGTATCTGCATTGACAGGGGTTGGGGGTCAGAAAATTGAAAGTTAAAAGAAACATTGAAAATTATCAGACATGCAAATTATCGTCTTGCATGTACATAGCACAATGATATGAAAAAGTATTTTTCATTACCTTTAAACATAAATTTCAAGTGAATCTGTGTTTTTAATTTATAGAATAAATCCTTAAATTACTGGATGAAAACATGAGCCATTTTAAAAATAATTGAAAGCAAACTTACCATTAGATTTCCTCTTGATGTTTTTTAGAAAGATATTTTCATAAGTTTTCTTGGTAAACTCTGAAAATCTCAGCTCATGTTTTCTAATAGACAAACAAAATCACTTCTACTAATACTTTTCATTTGGTTTTATTTGAGAAAGGGCACTCAACAGAAAAAATAACGCAGCCATCACTGATGTGACTAAGAATAGTATGATTTTGATCTTGTTTATGTCTTAACTTTTAAATAGTATCTAAGTACTTGAAATTGAATTTTGCTTCAAAACTTTGCCAATGCCTAGAATCTTAAGAAAAATTATTTCTTTGCATTTTAACCATGTATCACTGCTTTTACAAAAATCATACAACCCATATTGTGGAAAAATGCAAAGATTATAATTTAGTATGCTTATGTGGAGAACTGCACAATGAATATATATGTCTAAGATGACAGATATGAATACTTTTATACTTTAATTTTTTCTATTTTATTCATCATTATATGTAATTTTAGGTCATTCAAAAAATTCTAAAATATTATTATAAATTTCTTGTGCTATATATTTCCATTTCCCACTTCAGACTGTGAATTTACTTCTCTACTCTGTCCTTTGCCCTAAGAGGCCGATTTGAACAGTATAAATTAAATAAGCTACCTTGTCTTTAGGCTTGTAGTTGGCTTAAGCCAAAAGATCTAAGTAGCACGGGACTGGAGGAAGGAAGGAGAGGAAGGCTAGGGTATTTATGCTGCTGATTCCCTCAGGTGATTCCCCACCTTGGCCTCCCTAAGGGTTAGGATTACAGGTGTGAGCCACCATGACCAGCCTTGAACCCCAGAAAACTTTTACATACTCTCTGGTAAATGTGACCAAGATCATAAAGCTCTGACTGACAAAAGGCTCATCAGAAGCAATGGAGTCTTCCATTCCTCCTGGACTAGAAGAGGATGGATTCCTCCTTGTTTCAAGAGGAATTCCTTCCGTGGAACTTCACTGTGCTGGTTTCCCTTGCCTGCTTTGGGACCTACCCATTACTCTTCAGTTACTTGAAGATGCTGAAACTCAGTGATGTTGTTTGCACCTAGAAAAATAAGCCTGAGGTTTTATTTTATGCTTTCTCCTCCTAGTGTCAATCTGTCTCCCATGCCACAACACGACATACACAGTCCGTAAGAGAACAACAGTATGCAAAATTGCACAATAAAAACCATAGGGCTAGGGGAAGAAATTAGATTAGGGATACAGCACTCAAAAACGTTGTCAGTGACACAGTAAAGAAAAAAAAGATACGAGCCTAATGAAAATGACAGCACAATGTTCACATGTAAAATGGTCAGAACTAACACAGTAAAAATGACACATTAAATTGGAAAAGAGCCCAGGTTGCTTGTGGAAGGGGCGCAGAAATGACTCCAGCTGGTGAGATACTGCGAGGTCATTGCAGTAGGGTTATTTGAAACAACAGATGTGATAGGTGTGGCTAATCACAGAAGTCAAGCTGAGGTTGCTGGTAGAGAGAGGTATGAAGTGTGTGCATTTTGTGTCTTTCTACATGGCTCTGTATCTGGGTGCAGGTTTTTGTATATATCTAATATTTCTTATAGACAAAACAAAATACACATTAAACACAGATTGTTTTCAAATATATCAGTCATATAGGAACAAATTCGAATTTTTCTCAACAAATGTTACAGCAGAATTGGCTGCTTTTAATAATCTTTAACCATCTTTGCATACACTTGAATATATGGTACAACATTTATTTAGACTAGTGATTCACCACCTTGGCTATATATTAGGTCACCTAGGGATCTTAAAAAAAAAAAATTCAATGCCTGGGCCCAATCCTGGGTGATTCAGAGCTGTTTCTTCGTATGTGGGTCCTGAGTACATTGTTTTATATATATTCTGATAATCCTAATGTCTAGTTAGATTTGAGAACTACTGATTTAATTACATATATGAGTTAGGAAATTATATAGTATTATACTATGTGTTTATATTTATAATTTACATAAATAGTATTATACCATAAATCTCGTGGTTTTTTCATTTATACTGAATATACATATATATATATAATATATATACACACATATATATATAATATGTATCTGAGAGCTCTCCATGTTTCTATCTACTTAATTACCCATGAATCTTTTCTTTATAGTATCCCCCTCTATGCATCTCTTAAATTTTGCATATCTATTACAATAGTGAACATGAAATTGCCTCGACATTTGTTACCACAGAAGGAGCTGGGTTCCTCCTCCCAAATCTCCCCAGGAGTAAGGCTCCTGGTTGATGGAGTGCCACAACTCCGTTTCACTGTAGGTGTCAGATTGCTCTCTGGAGTGGCATCCCTACCTGTTAAAATTGCCCCAAGAATGTCTGCAGCTTTGGAATCAGGGTACAAACTTGATACCCTAACTCCCTTACTTTTTTTTTTTTAGCCTCTGGCAATTTTGTTGACTTTCTTAGGAGCCATAGGTATGTATTTAAAGATTTACTTTTTATCCCACATTTCCAGTTAGACCGTGGGATTGAATTTTAGAACATCCAGGCCTCCATATTGCTGGAAGTAAAATTTTAGAAACAGTTTGTCCATTGCCTTTGAAAATTTTGTTAGGATTTGCATTGCATTGAGGCCTTAATTAAGGAAGAATTCACATCTTTACAACACTTTCTCCTACGAAGTGGAAAACCCCTTCATCTGTTCAGGTTTTATTTTATGTCCTTTGGTCTAATTTTAGGATTATCTTCATAAAGGATTTCTTCAGTGTTTAGTGGATTCATTCCTAGACACTTATACGTTTCTGAAGCTACTCTAAATGCCCTTCAAGTTCCTACGTTATTTTCTAATTGATTATGGCTGCTTTAGTGAAACATGGCTTATTTTGGATGTTGTTCATGCATCTGGCAATCTTGCTAAAGTTGGATAATAGTTTTAGACGTTTGTTCATTAATGCTTCTGGGTTTTCAAGGTAAGTACGTGATACCATCTGCATACATGAAGGGAATTTAATCTCTTCCCTTTAAGGGCCTTGGTCTCTTCCTTCATTTTCTCATAATATGTTGCACATTATTCAACTGTAAGAGGAATGTTTATCTTTCCTTCAACCTTAGAGGGAATACTCAATATTTATCCAGGGTTTTCATTAAATGTGATGTTTGTTTTATGTTCTTGAAATTTTTATGTATCCTATAACAAGTTTAGAGAGAGTTCTATATTTGGCACACTAAAAAGACTTTGTTTCTCACTTTAATAGTGAATTAAAGATTATTAAATTCCTTTTTGACAATATCAAGATGGCTATTTTTTTCTGTTTCAATTCATTATTGATATATGTACAATGTGAAGCCATCTTTCATTTCTACCAAAAACGTTATTTGATTATAACATCATTTTTGCTACAATATACATTTGCATTGGGGTAGCAAATACATTTTTGGTAGCTAGTATTTTATGTAAAATTGTTTCACCTATGCAAATATATCAACATTAACTCGGATTTTTTTTTTTTTTAACTTTTTACCACCCTTGTTTATTTTTGATATTGGCATTCTAGGTCTTTCCCCTCATTTTCTATTCTCTGGCCATTTATTTTATCTTCTTTGCTATTTTCTGTAGCCACTTGTATAATATAGGAATTCCTTAAAATTTTGGCAGAATTGATAAAGACACATATGCCTGTGACTGTTGTGCACGCACATGTGAGTGTGTGTGTGTGTGTGTGTGAGACAGAGAGAGAGAGAGATGCATGCATGTTCATGTGAGTGTGTGTGTGTGTGTGAGAGAGAGATACATGCATGTTCATGTGTGTGTGTGTGAGAGATGCATGCATGTTCATGTGAGTGTGTGTGTGTGAGAGAGATACATGCATGTTCGTGTGTGTGTGTGAGATGCATGCATGTTCATGTGAGTGTGTGTGTGTGTGAGAGAGAGATACATGCATGTTCGTGTGTGTGTGTGAGAGAGATGCATGCATGTTCATGTATGTGTGTGTGTGTGTGTGAGAGAGAGAGAGAGATGCATGCATGTTCATGTGTGTAGGCTATTAAAAGCAAAAAACTGGCTGGTGCAGTGGCTCACGCCTGTAATCCCAGCACTTTGGGAGGCCAAAGAGAGGGGATCACCTGAGGTTAGGAGTTTGATACCAGCTTGGCCGACATAGTGAAAACCCGTCTCTACTAAAAATACAAAAATTAGCTGGGTATGGTGGTGAGCACTTGTAATTCCAGCTACTCAGGAAACTGAGACAGCAGAATCACTTGAACCCAGGAAGCAGAGGCTGCAGTGAGCCGAGAGTGCACTATTGCACTCCAGCCTGGGCAACAGGAATGGAACTCTATCTTAAAAATAAAATAAAATAATTAAAAAAAATATTTTGAATGTCATAAAATTTTAAATAATTATTGGCCATGTCACATTTCTTTATTTCTCATTGTGTTGTTTTATATTTTATAATGTTTTTGAAAAATTTAACCATGTAATTTAGGTTTTCAAATATCATTGTACAGAAATTTTAGACTGTATTTTGAATTTTACATTTTGAGTCATTTTGATAATTTGACCCTATAAAATCTGTTTCCTGCTTATTTGCTTAAAATTTAAAAATCCGTACATGCAATATTTTTTCCTATATCATTAGTCTTCTAAAAGAAACATTTTTCCACTTTAGTAATTAAATTTATTATATTTATATTGTATTTCATTTTTGTCTTCTCTTTAATATTTTCTTTCCTGGTTTGTTTTTTATGTTTAATCTGTTGACATTTTTCTTGCTGTTAAGTTCAAGGTGAGTTTATTTCCTGATAAATGTTTTAGAAACTGTGTATTGCCCTCTGAATTCTGTCTGCATTCCACACATTTTGATAGGAGGGACTCACACTTGATGCCTGACACTGGATTCCTGGTTATCAGGGGCCATCACTCCAGGCCCCTGAAGCCCAGTCTCCCTTTAGGTTTCCTCCTTGCTGTGTGATGTGTCGTATGTCACTGCCTGTCAAGAGCCAAGCTCTCATTCCAAGGAGACATAACTAATGGTGAAATAATGAAGAGCTGAAACCAACAGTCACATTAAATACAAAGCCTCACATTTCCTCAAAAGTTACCTACCTTTTTTCTTAGTCCATTCAGGCTAATGTAGCAAAATACCATAGACTGAGTAGCTAATGATCTAAAGGAATTTATTTCTCACAGTTCTGGAGACTGGGAAGTCCAAGATCATGGTGCCAGAAAGTTTGGTGTCTGGTGAGGGCCCACTTTCAGATTCATAGGGGGGCACCTTCTAGGCATGCCCTAACATGGTGTAAGGAACAAGGGAATTCTCTGGGGTCTTTAATATTATTTGTTTTTTTGAGAAAGAGTCTTTCTCTTGCCCAGGCTGGAGTGCAGTGACATGATCTTGGCACACTGCAACCCCCACCTCCTTGGTTCAAGCGATTCTCCTGCCTTGGCCTCCTGAGTAGCTGGGATTATAGGCACATGCCACCATGCCTGGCTAAGTTTTGTATTTTTGGTAGAGACAGGGTTTCACCATATTGACCAGGCTGGTCTCCAATTCCTGACTTCAGGTGATCTACCTGCCACAGCCTCCCAAAGTGCAGGGATTACAGGCATGAGCCGCCATGCCCAGCCAGTTCTTTTTCATAAGAGCACTAATCTCAGCCATGAGAGAGCCACCCTCATGACCTAATCACATCCCGAAGTCCTCATCTTCCTAATACTATCATCTTTGGAGTTAGGATGTCAATACAGGAATTTGGTAGGGGCACACAGACCATAGCATCTTTTCACCTGTCAGGGTTTTAGGGTAGCAAAAGCATTCATTAATTCCTCAGCAATACAGTGAGTGTGTACACCAGGTACAAATGTACTACAACAGACCCTCAAAGGTAAACAATTTTCCTAAAAGTATAAAACAATTTCAAAATAAAGCCAAAATGAAACTGGAAAAAATTGCCTCAGCTTCTTTTTCCATGTTATGAAAAGCAAGTCACAGAATCCTCACTGAGGGAGCTGAGTTCACAGTTTGCTGAGTCAACGTGTGTCACCATCATAACACGTCTGCCCATGCACAGGAGAGAGGCGGGAAGCTGGCAACCGCTGCAGGTGGAAGCAAGGCTTCTTTATGCCGTATGTACCAGCAGAAATGCTGCTCTGCTCACAGACACAGCCTTTGCTTAGTTCTTGCACGATTCTGAAATTGATCAAAAGTCTTTGGTAGATAAAGTGAAGCTAAATAAAATAGTATAGATTCCCAGTATGCAAAACATGTGTGAGTGAGTGAGTGTATCTGGGTAATGCTCTTCCTCTATCTTCCTGGCATGCTCTTGCTAACTGTATTGGTAATTTGCTTAGACATCACCTTAATCTGGTTAACAGCCAGTTGTTACCTGCTGGTAGCTAACCAGAGATGAAGACAGTGTAAGTAAAAGAGTTTAAACAACTTTTCCTGTCTTTGTTTTCATTCTTTATTTTTTTATTTTTATTTTTAAAATATATTTTTTATTGTACTTTAGGTTCTGGGGTACATGTGCAGATCATGCAGGATTGATGCATAGGTACATACATGGCAATGTGGTTTGCTGCCTCCATCCCTCCATTACCCATATCTGGCATTTCTCCCCACGTTATCCCTCCCCAACCTCCCTACCCGCCCCATCCCTCCCCTAGTCACCCCCTCAACAGACCCCAGTGTGTGATGCTCACCTCTCTGTGTCCGTGTGTTCTCATTGTTCAACACCCGCCTATAAGTGAGAACACGTGGTGTTTGATTTTCTGTTCTTGTGTCAGTTTGCTGAGAATGATGGCTAAACAACTTTTCTAGGCCTCCTGGACAAACAGAAACTCTTCAGCTGTTAATGATACGTCATAGTGACTTCTAAGAATCAAAGATTTTTCTTTAAAATTTTTAACCCCCAACTTTGTGTGTTATGTGTATTTTCATCAGGTCATTTCTGGGTTTTGGCAGACGCTCTAAACTCCAAGCAGAGTATAGGAACAATTCGGCCAAAACATGCATGTCCTAACAGCAATGCCAGAGATGGAAGGATCGTTCTGCCAGCCCATCATCCAGTTGTAAATAAAAAATTGAACAAGAAGGTACAAGAAAGTGATAAAATTGTGAGAGTGTTACGGTGTTTCTGCCATTACTCATGTGAAAGAGGAGGTGGGGGGCTTCTCCTCCCAGAAAGCAAATGAGAAGGGGCTCTAGGAGCATCTTCAGAGGGCTTGGCACATGCCCCTAGACTGAGAGACATGGGGACAGATACTGGACTCACAGCTAAAAGTCTAAAGACAAGCAGCTAAGACCAGAGCTGCCACCTGAATGCTTGAAAAGCAAAGCTAAGCGGTTATATGGGGACCAGCTACTTTTCACAGCAAAAGGAAATGTTGGCGTTTTGAGGGAACCAAGTATGACCCTTCTGATGGGAGCTGGCCTGAAGTTTGCTTAAAAGGGGTCCCACTCAAGAGAGGTGGAACAAAGAGACCCCCACAGAAGGATGGACTGCCCAGGGGCTGAAGTGTGAGTTTGAAGCATCAGTAACAGAAGCTTGTGCCAAACTGCAGTGGGAGGGTCCCAGCTAAAGATACCACAGCCAGCGAAGGGCAGCCAAAGAGAAGGTGAGCTACGGAAACATCCCTCGTGCTTGCTGGACAAGGTCACATGGTGCCACGCTTCCCGAAAGCTGTTCCCCATCTGGGCCTCATCCTGCGGCAGTCAAAAGTGGAAATCAGAAGACCAGGAAGGAGAGAACTGTGAAGGAAGGAGCCGGCCTTCCCGCCTTTTTCCTCTGCAGACTTCCTGAAGCAGGACAGAACTGGGACAGGGAGCAGTTCACATTGGACCAGAACTTGGGATTCTGATTGCATTCTAGGGAGAGCTCTTTAAAAGCTGAAATGAGGCTGCGCTTGTGACTAAAAGAAACTGGGAAAGCTAGAAAGCCTGCCTGAACTTTTTCCTGGAAGCCAGGGAGAATGGTTCTGCTGGGTGAATTCACCAGGAAGGGAGAGGGCGCAGAGCAGCTTTCTGCTTCCAGGCTTTGGGATCCAGCACATCCCATAAAGTGGTTTCATACTTAATATCTTCATTTTGAGAATCCCTCAGAAAATTCAGCATTAGGATTCCCAGGACTGAGCTCTTCGTTATCCAATGTCATCCTCCTTTTGTAATCCCTGCCTCGGCAAACAGGACCATAACCCAGGCCCGCACGGATGCTCCATTGCACCTACTGGTGTTTCCACCTCCAGTCTCCGGAAACTCACCAGAGTCATCTTGCATGCCACTGCAAGGCCATTGTTCTGCTAAAGGAAATCAGTTCTTACACTTTCTTTTTAATGTATCACCTACGTTTTAGCCTAGGACATGGTACCCCTCATGCCAAGTTCCTACACAGCCCTCTCATGTAAACTCTCCTCTGGCCTGCAGCACAGGCATCTACACTCTGTGATAGGCATTGTACAGCCACTCAGCTACCGGAGGATCCCCCCAAAGACACCGTGTTTCATCACTCTGAGGCATCACATCTTATGCTGGCATTATCTGAAATGGTATCTCCTCCTTGAAATTATGTTTTATCCTCGAAAACTCAGGTTAAGCATCGCTATTTCGTAAACTCTTTCCTGGTGCCACATTCTGATGTATGTGATCCTCCTTAGTCCTCTCCTTATAAGCTGCAGTTTATTGTATCGCAGCCCTTATCATACTTGGCCAGGAGAACTGACTTACTTGTTTCCTCTTCCTTGCTGCACTTCATGCTCTTCTACGTCTTGTTTGAGATTACAATTCAGCACAATACCTGACACCAATTATGTGTTTACATATTGTTTGTTGGATAGATGAAAAAAGAAATAATGGGTGAATGGCTTTCTTAATGCAGTATATTATTATTATTTAAGCCAAAAGCTTATGTTCAATAATGCTTGGCAGTTTGCAAATTTTTTCCTATGTATAATCCTATTTTTATCTTACTTTACCCTATACAGAAAGAGAACCCAAAGTTAGGAGAAGTTAGAAAACGTACACAGATATCAAAGAGTATTTCTTTTCTTTTTCCCCCTTTCTAACAATTGCAACTTTACAAAAGAGTTGGAATTGCAGTCAAAATTTTTTTTGCCAGAACTACTTGCAAGTTGGTGGCCAATCCATTGCCCCACAAACACCGAATACTATAGTGTTCTAAAAAGGAAAATACAAGGCAAAATACAACCGTCAAAATCAGGAATGAATCTGGATACATGACTACCTTATAACTCTCAGACCCCATACAACTTTTGCCACTTGTACCAATGCTGTCTTTAATATCAAAGAGTCTGAGGTAAGCATTACAGTCGGTCTCTTCAGGCTTTTAAGTCTGGAAGAATCCCTCGGTGCCCCTCCCTTGTACGTCATGCTCTTGATGCCTTTGAGTATGAAGTAGGGTGTTTCTCAGTTTGGACTTGTTTGCTACTTACGTGATGTGATTAAGATTATGCACCTTTGGTAGAAGTCTCGCTGAAGTGGCACTGTATTCTTCTCATCCATCTTCGAGTGGTGCATGCTATTGATTTGTCCACACTGATGATGTTCACTTTGATCACGGATGAAGGTGTTGTCTTCCAGAATTTTCCACTGCTAGCCTATATTTTCTACTTTATAATTAATACATATTTTGTGGAGCTATAATCTGAAACTATGTAAATATCCTGTTTCTCATCATGCCTTCAAATTATTAATTTATTTTTATCCGTATGAACTCAGGGTTTCATTTTCTAGTCAACGGGTCACAATCTGTTACTCTCATTATTTACTTTGATGCTCCAGTTGTCTTTGAGTTAACCAGGGCACTTGTCCAAACTGGACTGAGTCCTTTTGACATTTCCATCATACTTGGAGCACTGCTTTGTCTTCTGGCAAAACAGAATGTTTCAGACTCATGCCCCCTGCACCCTGCACCCAGCCTTGAAGCTTTCTCCAAAGAGCCTTGTTTCTTTAGAAGAAAATAACTGCTAAGTCTGCTTATTTCTTTGGGGTGTCATACCCTCTGTCTCTCTCAGTACACAGACCTGGTGCAACACACATTAACACACACATTTACATTTATTTATATTTATGTCTGTATCTATCCACGCACTTCGAAAACCACCAGTTCACACCAACACATCCAACTCCTATCCAACATCACATGATGTTTATCTTCTCTTTTCCCATTTTTTGGAACTCTTTCCTATCAAAATAGAAAAACTTAGTTTGAATCATCCTTAAGATATTTACTATTTTTTGATTTTTTAACTTTTATGATTATTCCTCCTGTGTATAATCAACTTCCCATTTCCACTTCCACCTGCTTCCCTACACGAATGCTCACCTCAAACTACTTGGGCTTCAACCTCTGGGAGGCCACCCCTGGAAGGATAATCTCTTCCCACTGCTGGGGCTCTGTCTGACACTGTGACACGCAGGACCTCCCAGGTGCGCTTCCCTCACCTTGAGCTCTCACTGCTGCCTGTTCTCTGCTGTCAGAAAAGGCGCCTGCCTTGCTTTAGCTCACAGGGTAGAATGAGGCTTGAGTTATTCAGCACAGGCAGGATGGGGAGGAAGAAGAGAAAGAGGAGGAGCAAGACCTGTTGAGAAGTTGTAAGTAGCAGGACAAATTAAGACATATGGAGCTTTCAGTTCCAGTTTGAGTTCTCCTCAAACAACTCCTTGGCATCTCTTTGGCTGAAGCTGAAGGACTACAGCTGACTTCATCTAGTGGAGCATGAAATGGCCTTGCTTCTTAATGGGCTGAGGGGCTAGGATCAGGCACAAACGACTACTTGGGTTTCTCTTAAAGGGATGTTCATATTGAAGAGGCTCAAAGCATTAGTTACATAGGCTATTTTCAATTTCTCTTTGATGAGCAATGCTCAACGAACATTTCTTTAAAAAATATATGATAATTTCCTTAGGATCAATTTCTAGAATTGAAATAAACTGTTGGTTCAAGCTCTGAATAATTTTAAAGCTACATACATACACACACACACAACTGTCTTAAAAATAAACTAGCTTTTTACTATATGTAATATATATAGTAAAGCAAAGAAATACAAGAACCATCTTGTAACACAAAGGGTAGAATCATATACCCATATAACAGTGTCTCTACATATCACATAGATATACTCACTTAGGACACCTAGAACTGTGCCTAACACAGAGTAGACAATCCAAAAATTTACTGAACAAATGGTGCTTTCAAATATAGCACTATATCTATATTCTTTTTTCGTTGTTTTAATATTTTCTTTAGGTAAGTGGTCATAGATGATTGTTGCTCATTATTTATCTTTTAATGAATTAAAAGCCTTAAATTTATTAAAGTATTAAGTTTTTCTTACATATGATGTAAATATATTTTTATTTGCTTATTACTGCTTTTCTTTGCAGTGAGAGACATAGAAAAAGGAGTTTAAATGTTTAAGTGTTAAAGTCTGTCAACCTTGTGCAGTGTTTAAATGGTCTTTTTCTTTCCAAAGTAGTATATAAATATCAATCTCTTTTTTCAAACAATTGAATTATTTTGGTGTAAAGACGATGATATATATATTCAATTTTCCTCCAAATTGCCAGCTGGTTTTTATAACTCTGTTTATAGTCTATCTTTTCCCTATGGATTTGAAATAATTCGTTTATTATATAATAAATTTTTCAACATGCTGAAAGCCATTTTTGAATATAATCTCTGTTCCAGCAATTCAGTGTCTAATGTAGCCCAAGTTTTAATTATAGCATACTATATTTTGATACTTATAGGTTATTCATCTTGTTAGTTTGTTTCTCTCTTTTCTCATGTGTATTGTTTTAGAAAATCTTTAGAGTCATTTCTGGAAAAAAGTGACACTGATATTTTTATTAGACTTGTGGGAAATGTATATGTTTTATTAAGGTATATAGAGGTATCTTTTATTTTTAATATCCTTTTATGCCTAATAAATTCTCTACAAAAATGTATTCAGTCACACAATATTAGTCAGATATTTTTATGTTAACGTTGTTTCTGGTTAATTTATATATATGCATGTGTGTGTGTGTATATATATATATGTGTATACATATACATTTAAATATATGTATTTTTTTTTGTATTCTAACTTAACCTTTGTGGTGCATTGTTGGTATAAGTAAAACTACTTGTTGTATGTATATATATATTTTTCACTAGTCTCCTTACTGAACTCAGGCATTGCTTTATGCATCTTTAATTTGATTCTTTGGGTTTATAGATAGCAACTATTCCTATATATAAAATGTAACCTATCGCTTTATTTTTTAGCAATAAAACAATGATTTTTTTTAGCAATGACAAGTCAAAAATATACAGCTTCTGAGATTAAAAGACAAAATTCTGGAAATGGAAACATGTAGGCAAGTTCTAGACATCCTTCTGGCTTTCTTGGCTATGAAACTTTAGCAAGTTATAGCATTGTCTAAGGAGACCCCAGGGACACCAGGTGACAAGAGA